TATATATATATATATATATATATATATGTAGATGGACAGAATATCGTTATTTATTTATTTTTATGTGGTGCTGAGGATAGAACTCAGTGCCTCACACATGCAAGTCAAATGCTCTAACACTGAGCTACAGCCCCAACCCTATCATTTTTATAGAATTTTAATGAACATTTTCATAAACATACATATATATGTTTTCATACTGTTTTCTATGTATGTGTGTGTGTGGGTGTGTGTGTACACACACACACATACACGCAACATTTTAATTTATTATGACACAGGTTATGCTTTACAGAATTCTCTAAAAGACAAAATTTGCAAAGCCAATATGGAATTTCTTTCTGGCCTTAATAATCACATATGGGAGTCCCTCTGTAATACATCTAGTTTTAAAATTTTAAATTAAATTTATTTTTTGTCTGACACATAAACACATAAATTTATATGTATTTAATACAGTACCATGTGATGTTTTGATACATGTATACATCATATACTATATAAGTTAGGTAAAACATATGTATATCAATGCTTAAATATTGATCCTTTTTTTAGTAATAACATGCAAAATCTTTTTTTTCCTAGGTTTTTGAAATATGAAGTACACAATTGTTGTCTCTAATCATCCTATTGTGGGATAGCATACTAGAACTTATTGTACCTAAGTGTAACATAGTAGCCACTGTCAACCTTTCCCCATCCCTCTCTCCCTGCTACTCACCCCAGGCTCTGGTAACCATCATTCTACTCTCAACTTCCATGAAACCAACTTTTTAAAAGATTCTGCATATGAGTAAGAGCATAAGGCGCTAGTTTTTCTATGCCTGACTTATTTCATTTAATATAATGATCTTCAATTCCATTCATGTTGTCACAAATAACAGAATTTCATTCTTTTTATGACTGAGTAGTATTCTATTGTGTATATGTACCACATTTTAAAACCTATTCATCAGTAGTTGGGTAGATAGGTCTTTTTCCACTTCTTAGCTATTGTAACTAATGCTGTAATGAGCATGGGAATGCAGATGTCTCTTTGACATACTGATTTCATTTCCTTTGGATATATACCCAGTAATGGAATTGCTGGATCATATGGTAG